GTCGTGAAGGCAGCACAGCTGAAGAGGATTATTATTTAATATATGTACATAGTTTATTTTTTAGACATTTATTTTGTACAGTTATCGCTGTTTATTAATAAATGTACATGTGTGGCAACTGGGACAAAGCTTTGACTCAGAAATATATTTTTGTTATTACGTTATGGAAAGAAAATAATTGAGATATAAATTGTATATCGCCATTCATCTTAAAATATCAAGATATTCATTTTGGTCCATATCGCCCAGCCCTATATAGAAGAATACAAAACTTTCCTGTTGTACTGAAATAAAATGCACACCTTTGGCTCTCAATTTTTCCACGATCAGGTCAGCAGTCAAATCCAGGTCCACACGCACTCTAGCCAACTGCTGCAGGCAATCCACAGTTGGCTTTTCAACATGCTGACTGTGCGATTGTAGGTAATCGGTCAGGAAGGCACACTCATCCTGCAAATATGCCTGCTGATCTGTAGCAGACCTGAACTGCAACCTCTCAAACATGGAATCCTGGAACGATGTCAGGACAAAAAAAAGAGGTTAAAATCTACACCTAAAGGTGGTATACGGTTACCCAGCTGTAGCTTTTGAAGCCCTTTGTACCTCCAGACAGTTGATGTACATGCAGTAGAGTTCAGTTTTGTCCATCTCCTCCAAAATGTTGCTCTGCTCAACGGACACCAGATGACGCTGCAGATATTCTTTAACTTCGTCAAAGCTATAAAACAAGCAATTTCAACAAATATAGGAAACACAACCACAAATAAAAAAACATATACGAGTACAAGTTATATGATATGTAACTTTTGCACCTCACCTGTATTTCAGCAGAAGTTTGAGGACTACTGAGCGAATCACTGGATTTTTATCAGCAGAATCGTCAAACGGAGAGAGCACTTTTGTCAGCATTTGTCGTTTACCTAAGGAAAAAAGAAAGGATATATTCAGAGAGCCATCCAGTTTCTTTACAGTACACACTGTTCTGTTCAGGGTAGCAGTGGAGTTGGTGCCTATTACCATTAATCTTATTTAATCATATTCAGACATGGTAAATCTCCTACATATAAAAACAAAGATGCACGTATGCAGACTTGAAAGTATGGTAGGTTTGCTGTGGCACAGTACCGTTGAGAATGGGAACAGTGTTGACTTCCACCATGAGGAAGGACAGCAAAATAAGAATGACGGCTGAACACGGTGGAGAGTTATCTTTGAAGCACATCGTAGACACCAGGTCTATGAAGAAAGCATTGCACCGCTTCCTAAACTGAGCATGTCGGCTGACAAGAACCCTACACAAAACAAGAGTGACACAGATGTTTGTCAGAATAGGCCTGAGGTCAGAAAAAAGTTAAGAAAATAGAGGGTTTGTGAAGAAAAAATGCATTACAACACTGATTTTTATGAGGAACAAAAACAATTTAAACAATAACGTAAGACCCCACCTTAAATCATCTGATGGAACCAAGGGAAAGTCATCGTTAACTGGCTGAATGCAGAGTGGACAGTACATCTGACCTGGGCTCAGCCACTGTTTGATGCAGACTACACAAAAGATGTGTTCACAAGGCAAGTGGAGAGGATCCTGAGGGTCTCTCATGCAGACTGGACATTGCACAAGACCAAACCTGGATTTAAAAAAGTAAACATTAGAACCTAGAGCATTTTGTGAATACGAAGACTCTACAGCAAGCAGTAGGTCCTTCATGTACAAAAGTGACCATATTTAATGGTTTTAATGTTTATAATGATCAAAACATGAACAAAAATTGACGGGACATCTAGCTCTTTATATACAGTGGCACTTCGGTTTTTAAAGAGCCATAGCTTGTCATGTGCTGTATTTAGAAACTTTATTAACAAACATGATGTAACATAGTCAACGTACGTATATTAGGATATTTAATTCAATTTTTTTTTTACTTGAAAATGCGGTCCACAGCTCCATCTTTGCAGGTTTTCAGCAGGACGATGATTTCCTCAAACATCTGCTGACTTTTGAGGTCAGAGTTTTTTTCAAGCATCTTGATGGGGAAGAAAAGGAAAAGAATTTAAGTATTGATGGAAAAAAAAAAATGGAAGCAGTCTTATGGCAAGTCACTAAGTTGTCACTGAAATTCTGACTAAAACAGATTGCGGACAAACCTGGCCAAGCCGTCGTGTATTCTCCAAAACCAAAGGTGACAGCTTCTTGTCCAACTCTTCAATTCCCAACAACATATGCTCCACAAACAGAGAGAGAGAAAATATGCGATTCCATCCAGATCTAAGATCGCAAAAGCACAAACATAATCTCACATAATTCATGCCATTATTTTATGACAAACTATGAATGTTGAGCACTCAATATTGGGATCAGTATTTTAGGTTTTGCTTGACTTACTGGACTCGGCTGACAAATATCTTGCTCCTCTCTCCATATTGTCTCACGCTGTCTTCTGAACAGATCAACTCAATGGGAACCTGGAGTTTTTTCACCTGCCTGAGCCAGACTTGTCTTTGAGCATCAGTGTCCAAAACCCTGGGCTCCAGATGCTCCAAACATGCAAAGGCAGCATACACATCGAGCACCTTGGAGACAATGAATGAAACAAAGACATATTTGAAGTAATAATAAAGTCGACATAAGCATAGTTTAGCAAGCTGTTATTCAATTTTAAATAAAAAACAAGTCAACAGTTTGACAATCCCCAAAACTTTACTAACCCCCCAAAATTAATAACAGCTTCAGGAGTTTGGCTAGCTTGATGGTCAGTGTTGCAGTCTTGTAATTTTGACACCAACAGTTCGAGCCTAGGTTCATTCAGGAATGGCATCTACAAACCGGATTCCAAAAAAGTTGGGACTCTAAAAAAAATTGTGAATAAAAACAGAATGCAATGACGTAGAGGTGCCAACATCTAATATTTTATTCTGAATAGAACACAAATCAGAGATCAAAAGTTTAAACTGAGAGAATGTATCATTTTAAGGGAAAAATCTGTTGTTTCCAAATTTCATGGCATCAACAAATCCCAAAAAAGTTGGGACTAGTCCATTTTTACCACTGTGTGGCACCCCACCTTCTTCTTACAACACTCAACAGACGTCTGGGGACAGAGGAGACCAGTTTCTCAAGTTTAGAAATAGGAATGCTCTCCCATTCATGTCTAATACAGGCCTCTAACTGTTCAATCGTCTTGGGCCTTCTTTGTCGCACCTTCCTCTTTATGACGCGCCAAATGTTCTCTATAGGTGAAAGATCTGGACTGCAGGCTGGCCATTTCAGTACCCGGATCCTTCTCCTACGTAGCCATGATGTTGTGATTGCTGCAGAATGTGGACTGGCATTATCGTGTTGAAAAATGCAGGGTCTTCCCTGAAAGAGATGACGTCTAGATGGGAGCATATGTTGTTCTAGAACCTGAACATAGTTCTCTGCATTAATGGTGCCTTTCCAGACATGCAAGCTGCCCATGCCACAAGCACTCATGCAACTCCATACCATCAGTGATGCAGGCTTCTGAACGGAGCGTTGATAACAACTTGGGCTATCCTTGTCGTCTTTGGTCCGGATGACATGGCATCCCAGTGTTCCATAAAGAACTTCAAATTGTGACTCATCTAACCACAGAACAGTCTTCCATTTTGCCACACTCCATTTTAAATGACCCCTGGCCCAGTGCAAACGTCTGAGCTTGTGGAGCTTGCTTAGAAATGGCTTCCTCTTTGCACTGTAGAGTTTCAGCTGGCAACGGCGGATGGCACGGTGGATTGTGTTCACTGACAATGCTTTCTGGAAGTATTCCTGAGCCCATTCTGTTATTTCCTTGACAGTGAAATTCCTGTTTGAGGTGCAGTGATGTTTAAGGGCCCGGAGATCACGAGCATCCAGTAGAGTTTTACGGCCTAGACCCTTACGCACAGCGATTGTTCCAGATTTTCTGAAACTTTTGATGATGTTATGCACGGTTGATAATGATAACTTTAAAGTCTTTGCAATTTTACGCTGGGTAACACCATTCTGGTATTGCTGCACTATCTTTCTGTGCAACAAAGGTGGAATTGGTGATCCTCTTACCATCTTGGCTTCTGAGAAACACTGCCACTCTGAGAAGCTCTTTTTATACCCAATCTTGTTGTCAATTGACCTAATTAGTGTTAATTGGTCTTCCAGATGTTCGTTATATGCTCAATATCCTTTTTCCAGCCACTTATTGCTACTTGTCTCAACTTTTTTGGGATTTGTCGACACTGTGAAATTTTGAATCAACATATTTTTCCTTTAAAATGTTACATTTACTCAGATTAAACTTTTGATCGGTCATCTGTTATTACAAATAAAATATTGACATTTGCCATTTCCACATCATTGCATTCAATATTTATTCACTATTTGTTTAGTGTCCCAACTTTTTTGGGATCCAGTTTGTAGTATAAAACAATTTCCAAATCTTTCATGCGAGTTTGTTCGCTCTGGAGTAGACGGGAAGAGCCGAAAGGACAGCGACAACATAAAGAGTTGTAACTCACTAGTTCTACGTTGTCTCTGGCATGTGGATTTCCCAAAAGATCTTTAGTCACTTGGGGTTCAATACACATCATCCTCAAGAGATTCTGCAGCCGGTTTTTGAACTTGTGATAAGCAGCATGGACCCATGGAAGAGCGGGTACTATTTCAGTGTCGTTTAGCTGCAGCCGCAGCTCAGTGACACAACAATTCAAGGCACTACGGAGGAGCTAGAAAAGCAGATGAGCATTATTAGCACAGATAACAATCAAAGCATAGCTGCAGTGTAAGATTTAAGAATTCAAGAGTTATTGTAAAACAACCTGCAGATCTTCTGGACAGGTGATGCTCATGGTCATAGAGATAAAATCTTGAAGGTAGCGCTGATAAAACTCCATCTGCGTCTCTGAATTTGCTTTTGCTATGTAGCGCCCCAGTGGCGTTTTCCAAAAGAACTCAACAAGCTCTTGTTGGGTATGTCCTATCAAATGTTTAGGTCAAGTTTAAATACAATAAATACACCAAAACAATCAGTATCTACATGTTCACTAAATGAAAGACCTAATGTCTTGTGTTTACCCTCATTCTGTAGAACATGAACACACAGCTCCTCCAGATAATCCTTAATCCTCCAACTGAAGGGCATGCTACAGCCCATGTTTTCATCCTGAGCAATGAAGTTTTGTACGAGGATGGTTCTCGTCTCAAAGCTGAACAAAGTTTAAATACACAAAGGACAATAAAATATGGTGAATATCCTTAGCTACAGAGCTTTTTTATAGAAAGATGAACAATTCCAATACTTGCCTGCGGTCCATGGGTAGGTGAGAAATTTCCAGCAGTTTTTCATTGCTAAATACGTCTAACCACAACCTCTTCACCGACTCACAGCAGTTTGTATCCAGCAGAAGGTCCATGTTTTGGTCACGGTCAATAACTGAAACTAGCTGTGCCAAGAGGGGGGCAATCACAGCCTGAACACGCTTCCATAAAGTCTGCCTGTAACGGGGGAAAAAAAGAAGAAAAAATTAACGCTGCTTAAAAAAGGGCAAGTTTTGCAAAGAATTTCTCTCAAACTAATGCAATCACCTGAATGTCCCTCCTTCTTGTAGTGCATCGATGTTTGATGCCTCTTTGAGGACCCAGTTGCTCTTGATAGATGACAATGTGTTGTCATCATGAATCACTAACAATGAGTGAAGACGCTTCTTCAGCGTTTGCAGAAATTCACCTAAAGACAGAAAATGATGATCACTGAAAGTGCTGTAACAAAACAATAAAACAAACGACAAAAAGCATGGCTGATTTTACCTTTAGTTTCATCATTGTCACTCAGGAGAGTCAAAAGGATTGCAACTCTTCGAGTGCTGCGAAAGCCACTTTTCACATGATCGCTCAGTATGCTCACTGCACTCTGCACACAGCTGCGCAGCAATGATGTTGTGTCAATAGCATTATCTGAACCCTGCAAGAAAAAAAAAAAAAAAAAAGACTTAAAACCTAAATTTAGTGACCCAGAACAAAATTAAACCAGGTATGGATGTTAAGACAATGGGATGTTGAAACAGGAAATTGTTACACGTTTATTCAAAAAAGAAACGTGAAATATCTAATCTATACTTACACTTTCTTCCACATTCTCCTCCTCAGTCTCAGTGTACATGTCATCCACCTCCATGGCTGGTAAACAGAAAAAAAGTTACAATGGGGGATACCTAGACATCCTTCTCCCCACCAATTCAATTCCAACAGGACTTGCCTAAAATAATTATTCATCAACCCTTTACCTTCAGGAAGAGGTGCCTTTGTTTCAAACATTTGGCTGATTGTCATGTTTTGCAAAGTCTTTATATCTGAAACAATGTCTTTTGAGCGTCTGAGGTCATCAATATGAACTGATCTCCAGGGGCCTATAAACAACAAGATGGTCTGGGTTATTGTTTATTTTTAACCAGCCTGTTAAAGTTAACTAATAAATTTTACAAGTCACATTAACCTTACCTCCATGAAAGCCGATGTAAGATGTGCCTCCTTCCATTCTTGGCAGTCGTGTGATAAAGTACACAAACACTCTGCTTCCTGTGCTTTCCTGTGTTACCTTGTTAATTTCATTTATTGATGAATACCTAAAAATGGATAGTAACACTTCACATATTAACAATACACTAGCAAAAAAAAAAAAACAGGAAAAAAAAGTGAGACCTACTTTGCAGATGCAATGAGATTGGCACTGTGAGAGGCTTCATCAAAATCACACTGAATGATGAGGATTTTGTTGCATGGTTCAGTGTTACTTTTTCCAGTTCCAGCTGTGAGGAAGTTCCTATAACAAAACAATTCAGTTGTAAGATTTAAGGCTATTTCTTACATTGCAAGAAAGTCCAAGTATATTCTTGTAATGCAATTCCTTTACATACTTGTTTTAACAAAATATTTTAAACAAGTCGTAAATTTTGACTGAGCTGATGCTTATTAGAATTGTATATATATCTTCATAACTTGATCGTTACACTTTACATTAGTAAATAAAGGTGGGTTAACTGGCACCAGTTGGAATAAAGCATGAACACACAAAGTATATCAGGAAACAAACCTGATCTTCTTCAGGAAGGAATGCTCTGTGTCAAACTGCTGAAGTGAGAGCAGCTCAACGCTATGGAACATTTGTTCTAGAGGTTCCATTTCAAACGCTGTCAAAAGTCTGGAGAACGTTGTCACCTAATGTTCAAAATTGTAAATGGACATTAAAACTTTTAAAAAGGGAAGGATGTGTAATAAAACGTAATTTATTTTACCTCTGTGAAAAAGGAAAAGCAATGGGATTTTCTCCTTGTGTGAGCACGTATGTAGACAGCTAAAGAGCTGTTATTCTGTTCCTCAAAGTACACCTTGGCCAGATGTTTGCTCTCCACTTTTGGCAGGCCTGTGCAGTCCAATCGCACTACTGAGTCTGGTGTAGCACATTTGAGGAGTATGAGCTTAGCCTTTTCAAGTAATCCCCTCTGAAAACCTGAGATTTCCAAATTGTCCTTCTGCTCCTCTATAACTTGAAGAACCACAGAAGCACACGTGTCAGAGTGGTAGCCAATGAAAACATCTGGGAGCTGATATTTGTATGTCTGAACTCCTGCTGCATGCTGGTTGCTTAGAGACGTAAAAAGCTTTGCCCATCTCTCCAGTTCTTCAACTAGCTTCTTCTGCTCGATTTTGAGAACTGTGTGAATGTCCAGGTAGTGCTTCTCCAGCCTGTTGATCAGAGGTATTGGGAATTGTTTGTAGACCACCTCTCTTTCTTCAATGACAATTAGTCGGAAGTCTTTGTGTACCCTGCATTTTACACGATGGGTTCCCAGCCCAAGATCCACATATTTTTGCCCTCCCAAGTACACATAGTACTGGTTGAGAGCATCATAGAGGCTTTCATATAGGTTCTGTAGGTTCAGAAGCACAACTATTTGACCCGTTTCCATGCATATCTTTACTCTGTTGATGTTGCGACAGATTTGAGTATACTCTTGGTCTTTTGGGAAGCTAGATCCAAAGATTATTTCTGGTTGACCACTTTCAGAAAAAAAGGTTTGCTGAAGGATCTGTAGGGCAGCATAGTTTTTTGTTAGCACAAGAAGGTATCGACACTCCTCTTCTTGTCCAACTGCTTGAATGTTTTCTTTCACAAAGTCAGTGGTGCTGATGTTCTCCAAGTTGGGTTTAATCTGTAGTCTTTGAGTAAAGACAACAACAACATCAACATCATCTTTGCCACTGAAATTTCTCAACACAGCCTTTACAATCTCTTCTGCTGTGGGTGTCTGTTGAGAGGTCTTGGCCATAGCAAAGATCATCTTAACTAAGCTGTAAAAATCACGTAAGCCAAAAAAACCTTTTCCCTGTTTGCGACAAATGTTTAAGTAGGATCTTGCAAATGGCTTGAATAAATCCCTGACCTTTTCAAGAACCATTTCATCAGATGAACATATGCCTTTAGCACTCTCAATGAGTTCCTTTTCATCAGGGTCACCCCGGGAGACAAAAATACCTCTGTTCATCTTTGCAGGGTCAAGAGCCCAGTTGGAGATACCAATGAATCCAACCTTTTTGTGAGGTAGGGGCTCATCATCAATGCATCCCTCCTCTAGCAAAGGGTGAAGAGTTTTCAGTGGCATCTTTGGAGAGTCCTCAGCCAGCCCAATCTCATCAAGAACCACAACGGAAATGTACTCATTCAGGTTCTTTCCTTCCTGAAATCGCCCACATTGCTTGAATGTATTAATGATGCCTTCTGGTGTTGAATGAGGGCTACACTGAAAGGACACTAAATGGACCTGTTTGAGCCTTTTGTAGAGGTCAGAATGAGCAGCTTGGCCCTGCATTGCATCTGCCACTAAAGTTTTAGACAAAGACTTTGAGCTCCCAGGTTTTCCAACAAGGAAGAGCGGGATTCTCAGCTCAATGCAGAGAACCATCATGAAGACATTCTCTTTGAGGGCACTGTTTCTTGCAATAGTTTCCCCCATTGGCACACCACTCAAAAGTAAGTCCTGCATAAGTGAAATTTCTTGCATTACTTTTGATGGGGTGTATAGTGATGGTAGTTTTCTGCTGATTTTCTGTCTGTATTTGTCCTTCTCTTCAAGGCAGGCATGGTAGCACACTCCTACTGCCATAACTAGAGACCAGAGAACAGGGTCTTTGGTCTCAGGATGCCTTTGATGACCTTCACCTTCAAATTTCTGAAGCTCTGAAAAAAACATTTCATGATGATCATGGAACCAAACAAAAGCCTGCATGCAGCGTTCCACATCTCTTAAGCTGACAAAGCTGCATTCATCGTTTCTTGTCCGCATGTACTTCTGTGAAGCTGAAAGAACATCAGTGATGTATATGATATAAGCTTGATCAATTTCTTTGCTTTTAATCACCCTTTGTACAATCTGCTGGATGTATATATGTTCTGTGTGATCATTTAACTGTCCAAAGTCCCACACCAGAGGAATCATGCTTGGCGGCAATGCTTGAACTCGATACACAAGCTGACGGAGAGGGATAGATCCCAGTTTTTCATCAGTCTCTTCAGCTCGAACTCGATACCCAAGGCCTGCAGACTCTAATCTTTGAATCATTTCATCTGTGTGCTTTCGGTAAGGATTACATGCAGCAATAATTTGCAACCCTGACACTGGAGTCAAATTTTCTCCCTTCACAGTCTTGTCACACAGGACCTCCTTGATACTGCTAATAGACTCTGTAGTATTGGCCTCATCAAAGAAGAGAACAGAGTCAAATCCATAGTCTTGCTTGTTGATAGCAGCAACATTCTCAGCTTCTCTGACCTTAGCATAGATCATCTCTGAGGTTGTCCCTCCATGCACCTTCACCAGCTTCATGTTTTCAGTTGCAACTCCACTTTTCTGCAAATCGCAAAGGAATTTGATGAGCCTTGTCTTACCGCACCCCGTTTCTCCCATGATAATGACAGGGATGCCACACCTGAACCGCATGTGGATTGCTAGCATCTTCAGTATATTGTCAGTTGTAAGTTCATATGTTTCATCAGGATCAAGAGGCCACTGGATACCAAGAACTCTGCAGATTCTCTCTATTTTCTCCCATCTTGGAAGTCTATCAAAGTTGACATTAAAGGGGACTCTTTGGAGCTGTAGACCTTCATACAGTGCTCTTGTCATGACATTCTTTTTGATTACCCTTCCGGAGGTGGGCTCAATAGCATCAACATAGTTCTGCTCATTGAGCTGAAGATGAAATCCAATAAAAGTCATAGACACATGGTCGTCATTAAAGAAAATGTATGGATGTGGTTCTGTTTCCCATTTTTTTCTGATGAGAAAGGGAGCCAGGTCTTCATCTCGAACCCCAGCCAAATTAACTTGCAACCTGCCAGGGCTCTGATCAGAAATGTTGAGCGATGGAGTGGCAAAGTCCTTTGCCATCAGAATCATGAAGTCTACCACAAAGGTTTTGAATCCACTTAGTGTGTCTCCAGTGAATGTGGCATCACAGAAAACCGACGACTCACAATCTTTCAACTGAAGGTTAAGAAACCAAGTGAAATTTCGAAGTTCTGCCCAAGATGGATCCATAATGCCACAGTACATAAGAAACATCTGCAGACACTCCACATGGGATCCCTCAACACCCTGGTAAGTGATAGCATCTAGATCGGCATGGTTATGAAACTGTTTAAGGTATTGGTATGGTCGTTGAAAGGATTCACTCCTGAACTCTTTATCATCCATTAGTGGGTCATCACTGCTCACAATGGTTGGGTCCTCTTGCTTTCTCATCTCTAGCATAAGTACGTCTTTTGGTGGTCGGCAAAATATATTTGGAAACACATCTATGAAAGTGTTGTTCATCATTTGAACCTAATAAAAATTAGAAATAAAAAATAAAACATAAGGTATGCTAACACTTAATATCAACAAAATTAGGTAATTGGATCTTGTGCAAGATGCTTATTAAAATTTACCTCCTGAGTGACATTTCTGGTCAACTTCACAGCGGGCTCTAAAATCTCCATGACATAAAGTTGATTGGTGTTGCACCTCCACATCTTTCCCTCAGAGTCCATCAAGTAGCGTAAAATCAGCAATTTGAAAAGGAACTCATGAAGACCTTTCTGCACCTTTTCAAATGAAAGATTCAGTATAAATAATATTTACTCTGTCAAGTAATGAGTGTACAAAGTTATATTATATTATACTTGGCATTCACGTAATATTTACCGATGATGTGACATCAAAGTGGAAGACAGCAAGTCTTCTTTTAGGGGTGTCCAACAGAGACTGAAGAATGACAGTCTCATCAATGCTAGGCTCAATCAAGCGAATGCATTTCATTACCGATTGCTTTTTGGTAGAATGCTTCAGTTTCTCATAAAGCCTCTTAATGTACAGAGATTTACCTGCGAATAAAATGATAATTTCACAAATTAATAGTTGAATAAGACAAACATTTTCAATTAGATAACCTTATTTTGAAGAAATCCATATACACACCAACACCAGCTCTTTTGGATGAGATAACACCAACACACAGTCTGTCTTTAAATGAGGCTGCTGCGCTGCATTGTTCTTCTGAGACAGTGTAGTGTTTCTGTAAGTATCTCTGAATTCTGGCAAATGGTTCTTGTGGAATCATAGGTAACCTGTACTGGCTGAAAGCAGATGGAAGGTAGGTATGCTCTCTTTCTGAGCTGCAGATGACAACAAGCATGTACTCTTTCCTGCTCTGCATTTTCATCCGCTGAAAAAACTTCTCAACTTTAGAGCTCACATCATACGTGAGAAGATCTCCATACACCAGAGAGTATATTTTCTGACCCCTGTATCCTGTGTTAAGGCAGCGTCTGAGGAAAAGCTCCACTTGTTCATATGGAGTTGAAGGGTTGCACAGAAGGACTTCATCATAGGTGGGAAGAGCCTCATTTAAACTACTCATATAAATAGAGATGCAAGATGTCAAGACGTCATCATGTGGACAAACAATGAGGTTTGGCTTTCCAGTATCCAGACCTTTAGGGAACTGCCTTTTTAGAAAATTCCCAAAGTTATCATCAGAAATATCTTCTTCACTGTCATCCTCTTCATTCTTGTCAACTCCATTAGCTAGTTTTTCCAAGAGTCGGCCAAGAGTTTTTATATCAAGGATTGTTGGGAGGAAAGTCTTCATGTCTTTCATATAAGCATTCCATATCTGGTCAAATGCTTGCAAACCTTTGTCTTTTCCTGCAAGATTCAGCAAAAAATCCAAATCTCCTGTCATCTCTGGATCTTCTAGCTCACTTCTTGACATCACAACAAAAGTCTGAAACTCAAGGTCTTCATTCTGCTCTTCTGGTCTGGTGAGGTTTTCATATTGAAGTGTGTGCCACACTTGTCTTAAATCTTGAGAAGTGCAATTTGGTTTAATGAATGAGAGCATCATGAGAACTTGGTCTTCTACATTGACCACATTTTGCTGAATCAGCTTGCTACAAAGGTAGACAATCTGCTCAGCAGTGTAGTAGTTTAAAAAATAATAATATGATCTCTGTTTGTCTACAAAATCCATCCAGTAGTCCAGACATTTCTCCATTTTTCTGCAAAGTTCAGGAAGCTGCTCCTCTATGCTGCCCTCTACTACAACGCTGAGAAATTTGTCTAAATTAAAGTCCATCACAATGCTGGGTTCATTTTGACTTGAGGAGCAGTTTATTTGCACTTCCCAGTGTCTGAACAGAGGATTTCCAGCAGAGTAAAGAGCAATGAAGGCCTCAGTTAGTCTTTGAACACTGGCAAAAACCTATAAAACAGAAACAATAATGCACACGGTGGTGATTTTTTTCCCCTCATGGTGTAGATTGTATAGAACAAATAATTTAAATTTTTTTTTTTGCAGTACTGAAAAGTAGGTCTGAATGTCCAGTATAAAAAAAATTATTTTAACATACCTCTACAAAATGATCAACTTCGATTTGCCCTTGATCTCCTTTTCCAGACATGAGCATAAGTTTGTTCTGCAGCTCTCTCAGATCTTCAAGAGAGTAGCTGCGCATGTGCAGACAGTCGTCATGCTCCTCTGGAATCTGCAGCTTCATGGCACTTTCAAGTGTCAACTGGATCAAACGACAAAAATACATGTACACATAATTTGATAAGAACTATGACTTCTGTACTGCATGGACACAGTGGAGCAATATTCATTATCTAAGTGTTTTTACCAGCTTGACATTTTGTGCATTGATTAGGTAGATTCCCTTGTTGTTGATGGTTGAAGCTAATGAGAGAGATGAAAGCTCCACAGATCCATGGCTGTCCTTTACAGTTTTTAGCCACTCCAGATGACGTGCACTGTCACGCTAATAAAGAAAATGTTCAGTTTTTTTTCTTCATGAAGTCATCCAAATATCTTTCATTGTATTGTAACAACATTTACAGAAACACTTGTTAATACACTTATTAATATTTGTCTCATTAAAACATATTTTTTCCTCACTCGCTCTGGTACGAGGCTCACACATTCTCTTCCCTCTCCCTGTTCTCCTCCTGCTTTTTTTGCTCTGTCTGTGTATCGGAGCTCCTATTTTTTTTACACATCTTCCAAAATGAAACTACTGTTATGGATCAGACCAACTGGACTTTCGACGTAAATGACAAAATCTTTTCAACAAAGCGACAGGGTCCTGGAGAACCCTCGTGTCTGCCCGGACAACATGTATGCAACTGGATACGTCTCTGGGGGAGTGGAATGTGATGTGTCTACCTCTGCTGTTGATCGAGGACGCCAAAATTGCATATAATTGGATTTGTGACAACAGGTTTCCTGTTTTTGGAATAGTCCGATTCCTGGTTTATCAGCATACAAAGATCTGGCCTGGTCAGGCTGCTGCCTATGTGAAGGTTTGGTTCGTGCTTTGAGGACTCAAAATCAGCTGATTTACAAGCTAAACTGTAAGATTAAGTGATTTGTGAGAATCGCAGGCCATCTGCGGCTTTGGGACTCGCCAGTATGAAACGACCTTGAAGAGGCTCGTAAGCATGAACCAGTAGAATGCATCCTAATTTGGCAATGTCAGATCTTGGAAGTATTCAAAAAACGTTCAATACAAAAACAACTGGACTTTATTTGTAACAGAAGACGTTTCGCTCCTCATCCGAGGAGCTTTCTCAATTCAAAGAGCAGTGAAGTGAGAGATTCAGGTTATAAAGCTGACTGAGATAAGACACACACACACATATGTAGATTAGCAATTCACACCTAAACACCTTAACAGTAAGAGTCTTTTGTTACTCTAATTCACAGACGAGGCCCCTATGTTCCCATCAGTGTGAAAACCGGCTGGGAAGCCATCTTAAAGTTGCATTATATGTTTTAGAAAGTGGAAATCTGAGGCCTCCTCCTCTGTTAAGAGATGGCTTTTCTCTTTTTACATAAATTGCTTCCTTCACCCCCCTCTCAAACCATCTGTGTTCTCGGTCCAAAATGTGCACATTTTGGTCCCTTCTCTGTGAGGTGGAGGTGAACAGCAGAATCTTGTCCTGAGGAAGTAGCTCTCCTGTGTTGAGCCATGCGTCTGTGAAGAGGCTGTTTAGTTTCTCCAATGTAGAGGTCTGGACAGTCCTCGCTGCACTGGACCGCATACACTACACCACTCTGTCTGTGTATGGGTGTTTTGTCTTTAGGGTGGACCAGCCTCTGTCTGAGAGTCCTGTTGGGTTTGAAATGTACTGGGATGTTGTGTTTGTTGAAAATGCTTCTGAATTTCTCTGATACTCCAGCAACATAAGGGATGACAATGTTTTTCCATCTGTTGTTTTCCTTTTTCTGTTTATTGGTGTGTTTTGTAGATTTCCTTGCTGACTTGACTTTTTGCTGTTCACCTCCACCTCACAGAGAAGGGACACTCTTTTGAGGACCAAAATGTGCACATTTTGGACCGAGAACACAGATGGTTTGAGAGGGGGGTGAAGGAAGCAATTTATGTAAAAAGAGAAAAGCCGTCTCTTAACAGAGGCGGCGGCCTCAGATTTCCACTTTCTAAAAACATATAACGCAACTTTAAGACAAATTCCCAGCCGGTTTTCACACCTGATGGGAACAGCGGGGCCTCGTCTGTGAATTTGAGTAAAAAAAGACTCTTACTGTTAAGGTATTTAGGTGTGAATTGCTATGTGTGTGTGTCTTATCTCAGTCAGCTTTATAACCTGAATCCCTCACTTCACTGCTCTTTGAATTGAGAAAGCTCCTCGGATGAGGAGCGAAACGTCTTCTGTTACAAATAAAGCCCAGTTGTTTTTGTATTGAACGTTTTTTGAATTCATCATGTCCTGGATGACTGAGAATCTTCACAAGCATCTTGGAAGTACCAGTAAGACTCAAGGCTGACAAGAAAAATAGTCTGCCTGTAAAAATCAACAATTGTGGCTTATCTGAATCGGACTCCCCCGGTTGGCCTCCAAAACAGGCCGACAATTTCTCCCTAGAAAATTGTAAACTAAGGAAAAGCTTCATCTATGTCTTAAATCGTGTCCTGTTAGGACAAGGTGTGAAGATATCTTTTTTTGTAATGCCACTATCCTCTCCTCATGGATTTGTCCCTTTTTCTATCTAAAAAAATGCATTCTGAAAAGGATAAGAGGCCGTGCTCTCAAAGAGCAGCAGCTACGTGCATTCCACGCATCTTTCAGACGACTTAACAGACATTATTCTTGCTGTATCTCGGTACAATAATAAAGCTTACTTTGATTCTGATATGACAGAAAAGATATTATTCAGCTGCAAAGCTTTCCAAAGTTACCTAAACTTGTATTAGTTTATTTTAGCAAAATAGGTTGCAAAGTAAATAATCTAAAAGTTGAATTGAGATTGTTTTCTGGAAATACTCATATTAATGATTCTTTTTCTTACTAGTTTTTTAGGTAGATTCTTGTCATTTTCCAAAGCTCTCCAGAGCTTGTTGAGCACTTCTTTAAAGGCGCGAAAGCCAGAGTCTGGTTTGAGTTCATAAAGCACTGAAGCATAGCCGAGGACCGCATCATGGAAGCAAGCAACCCGATCCACATCCATATCATTCTCCCCAGCAGAGATGGAAGCCAAGTCCACAAACACCTTCAACTCGTTAATATCTAGAAATAACAGTTAGATTAAAAAAATATCATAAACAAAAATAAAAAATGTGAAAACTATACTTACCCTCAAGGGCATCCTTCACCCATCTCACAAAGTGTCCTCTGAGTTTTAGTTCATCTAGACACTGCCTGCGTGACTCCGTAATGTCAACCAGAACCGTCTTTGCCTGCATTAGGTCGATGTCAATTCGACTAATTGGTTCCTTTTGAAAATCTGCATGAATCTAAGGTGAGAAGAGTCAAAGTTAGAGTTTTAGTCAAATGTTAATAAATCCCTTAAAAATGTCTGTGGTTCTTAAAATGGCAATTTTTAAAGGTTTTGCCACCTAAATTCTTCAAATGGAGAAACAGAAACATTTCTTATTCTGTAAATGGGGATTATGAATATGCAACATTTATGCATTAACAGCCAAAAGGTTGTTTTTAAATTAGAGGGAAATTTTAAAATCAGCTTTACACAGAAGTGTTTATGATGAACTGTATATTCTGAATTTCCAAGCATTTTTGTAGTCATTCTCAAATTTACTTACGACATTCATGAGTGTTTCCAAAACACTGAAGTCCCCTTGAAGACCAAGTGTCTCTTTGACCTTCATGATAACTTCAGCCGAGGCCACAGCCAGGTGAAGCTCATGATACTCTTTGACCTGTTCAACCCTGGTGTGTATCCATTGTTTGTTGGCAGATTTCTCAAGTTTACACATGGTGTCCAGCTCCTGAGTGAGTTTAACATATTTGTCTTTGAATGCTCCAAAAAGCTGTTCAATTTCTTCAATCCTTATGCTGCCTTTCTTCAAACGAACATATATGTCTTTGTATTCATGAATACAAGGAAAGTAAATGTCACTGTATATCATGTCTGGTGTTGCCTTTATGTCCTCATCATCTTCCATTTCATCCCTGGCCAGGATTATGGCGTTTTTCTCCCAACACATTTTGAAAACATGACTGTCTTTGAAGGCAAACAGGTTTTTTGCCATGTCTCTGATGTCTTCATCCAAGTTGAAATAGGTAACAATGCCGGTCAATGGGTCACAGTCCATTTGGTCGAACTGATTAACCTCCATAAAATGGTCCAAAGATGACATCTCAATGTTGATTCGGGTTTTCTCCTTCAAGTAAGCAACATCAACTATTGCAAAAATTAAATGAGCGTGTATTATTTTTTCTTCAACAAATCATAATAGTCAAGTCTATTAGTACAGTCTCTCCTTACCGGTCATGTGTTCCTCAAGTTTGCGACACATTGTTAAAATGACTTCTACAAGCTCCTTTTCACGGTACAGAGCTTTCACTTCTCTTTGTCTGTGCTCCAACAAAGTTACAAGTTTGTGCTCATCTTTGTACTGTTCTTTCTCAGACAGGCAATCTGTTAAAAGAACGTAGAAACCTTTTAGTGTTATTAGAATATTCCAGTTAAATTTTACAATTTCTGAATGTATTTCTCAAAAAAAAAAAAAAAAAAAAAGATTTTACCAATTTTCATCAGCTCTAAGAAGGCAGCTTTTCTCTCCAAAATGATGTTGAGCAGGTTGATCTTAATGTGTCCCTGGATCAGCTGATTGTTTATGGCTGTGAATGATGATATTGCTATGGCAAGTCTGTCCCTGGCATCTTGAGAAAGTGTCTCAATCAGCTTCTGATCTGCACCTGTACATATAGAATTAACAAGTGTTTTGTTTTGTTTTTTTACTTAAAATCACAGCCAGACTGGCAGTGCTTGATTAACATCAATGATAATTAGAGCTTTGGTTCCTTGTCTTTACAAGAATACAGTATTTGCAATTGTAAAATAGATGGATTTTGTCTCTTTTTTTTTTTTCTGAAGAGATACCGTGTAGCTGTAAAATGTCTTTAGCAGCTGTCCAAGAGAGGAGGTGTTGAAGGACCACTTCTTCATCTTCTTGATAATTTCCATGATTGTCCCTTGGCCAAGATTTTTCAGTGATGGCAGAGATGAGTTTACCAAACTTCCAGTTGATCCTAAACTTCTCAAAAAGTCTGCCTTCAGATCTTGTCTGCATATATGAGAAAAGATAAATCAATCATTCAACCAAATAAAGTTTAATTCAAAGGAATAATTTGGACTTTTTTAAGTTGTCTTTTGTGAAGTTCTTATAGGTTGCTAAAATCTTACTTGGAGTAGAAATCATTCAAAGAATTATCAGTTTAGAATATCAGGCAAATTCTACCAGAGAAAATTAGCTACCAGTAAATCTGAGCGGTGCCAAGACCAAAACAGATTTATGCCAATAAAAACAACTCTAAATTAAAATATTTCAAACTGGTTAATACACACACTATTAAACAAACATTTCCACTGCCATAAACTTTGTATTAGATATATTGATATACATATTAGTTATTTTTGGTTATTTTCAATTAGAACCGAGTTGATTACAGTCCATTTTTGGTAACCAGAAAAATTTTTTCTAAAATGGTGTAAAATAAAAATAAAATAAGCACCTTTTTGACACCACAGTATTTCCCCTACCATTATACAAGCGGGGCGCCACGCCCCGTCAACAGAACCGAGTGCCCAGTCTACAAACAACCCCCCCCCCCCCCCCCCCCAAACCACCTGTCGGCACCGACGTAACGCTAAACTAGTGGCTCGCAATGCAGGTGGTGCTAGCTAAAATGCTAAAGGCAGCCTCTTTCCTCATACTGAACCCTCACGCTGAACGCACACCCACCACTCAAAAACTGTTGGTACAAACAGCGCACGGCTCAGATGTGCGTCTGTCTCTCCCCTCCGACGCCCCCCCCCCCCCCAATAAAACCTGTCCATTCAGACAGCGCGCAGCTGAGATGCATCTCCGTCTCTCTCCTCTCCCACACCCTGCTCTAAAACTGTCGGTGCAAACATCGCACGGATGTCTCTGTGTCCCCCACCCCCCCTCTGAAACTGTTGGTTTAAACAGTGTGCTGTGCAGCTTGGGACGTGTCTCCATCCATCCGTCCCCGTTGCCCCCGACAAAATCACGGACAAGATGAGCGCCCCGCCATGGCAAGTTATCTAGGGGAAACACTGCACCATCAATAAAAATAACACTGATTTTGATATTGCATTACTTTGTTTTTAACCAGGTCACTCTTAAAACATTTAGTTTTGCAACATAAACTAAACGGAACACAACTTCATAAAATCTGAACCTTTGATCAAAAATGGATGCATGGATGCTATAATCCTGTGATTTGTGAAAGCTCTTTATACAAGTTTTGCATTTTTTTTTACTGATACGGTAAAAGAAAAAAGTGTTTTTTTTTTAAAGATGTAAAAAGTAAACTCCCTTTTGGCACTAGAATAATATTAGTATCGTTACTAAATATAATCACAAGTGCATAAAATATGGCACAAATTTATGCATATGGTCAAATTTAAAGTTTCATACCTGACACAAAGACGTAACAGCTTCCAGAGCACACTTTTCAATGCTGGCAGCAACATGTGGATGGGAAGCACTAAGTTCTTCTATGTTTGTGCAGTAGAATTCAATTTGATTCAGATCAGATTCCTAAATCCACAAAATCACACAGATTACAAACAATAATTGTCTGACCAGCAATAATCCCAAATGTCTCCTTGTTTTACTTACCTGTTTGTACCTGCCCTCAAAATCCATAGTGAACTTTTGTCTCCATTCTTTAGTGCAGTCTTCATCTTTAAAGTTAATAGAGATTAAGTTGTTCCATATCTGTTATATGAAAAGAGAAATAGTCATATTTTACTTTTAATAAATTGCTAATATTCGTCCATATACACTGCCTGGCCAAAAAAAAAGTTGCCATCAAAAAAAAAAGGTCACACTAATATTTTGTTGGACTGCCTTTAGCTTTGATTACGGCATGCATTCTCTATGGCATTGTTTCGATAAGCTTCTGCAATGTCCTGGTGAAGATTCTCAGTCATCCAGGACATGATGAATTCAAAAGGCGTTCAATACAAAAACAACTGGACTTTATTTGTAACAGAAAACGTTTCGCTCCTCATCCGAGGAGCTTTCTCAATTCAAAGAGCAATGAGTGAGGGATTCAGGTTATAAGGAAGAGTGAGATAAGACACACACACGTATGTAGATTGTCAATTCGCACCTAAACACCTTAACAGTAGGGGTTTCTTAAGGTCTTGGTTACTCTAATTCACAGATGAGGCCCCTCTGTTCCCATCAGGTGTGAAAACTGGCTGGGAATCAGTCTTAGGCCTTATTTACATGGACACGATGGAGGGAAAGGTAGGTATTTTCGTATGTTAATTAGAGGAAAAGATTTGCGTTGACACGGTCGGATTTTGTGTTTACGTGCATCCGGAGGGATCCCCCCCGCCCTCCCGAATCTGCTGTAGTTACCATGCCAGGTCATTAGTTGTGAATTTTGTACCTTCACTTAATGCGCATGCGTGCTGTCTCGGCACGCTCCTTTCCTCTGGGCTGAAACTTCAGCCAACAAAAAATTAACAAGTTAAATCTGGATTTTGGTTAAGAGTCGATAGATTTGAAGCCAAGCGGGACCGCTTCATCCAACGGCTCCACACCAGTCACTGAGTGGACCAGAACAGAGTTGACGATGTCAGACTTTACTCCGTGATAATCAGTAGCTGATTTACTGCAGGTAAATCAAATGTTCTTAATAATATTTGCTTGTGTTTACTTTGCACTGGAGGACGTTGAAAAGAGAGATGTTGGATAAACTTATTTATTTAAAATTCTCCTCAGTTCTTTTATTCAATCCATTTAATATTTTAAGCTGCATTAATCAAAGTAGTGACAGCCTGAACGAGCCAGATGAACAACATGGGACATCCAGGATGAAAACAAGAGCCCAGTTCATTAATGCAGTTTACAGTTCAGTTAACTTGTTTTAATAGTGTTCAGTTTAATTATCAGTGTTTGTGTGACATACAGTTTGTGGTGTTGAATAAATAAAACTTGAACCTGATGTCTTCATTTTCAACTTTTGTAACACGCAATATGTTTAGCATCATTTTAAATTTGAATTACATAATGTCCAGATAGCTTCATTTAGCTCAAAGCTTCATTATATCACTCACACTAACATAAATACTGTTTATTATTATTAAACTGTTATTATTTAGCACATTTAGTATGTTATAGTGCAGCGCGACGTGTGCGCGTGCCTCGTTCTATAAACGGCGACATTAGAACTGGATCAGACTGTCTCTCTTCCAACACAGATGTTGGTCACAGCACCTGGAATCTGACGTAGATTAACTACGAGATTAAAAATATATATTCCATCAATCATAGTTCAGAAAGCACTGTGTCCACTGCCATGTTGATAGAAATATGCAGTCTGTCCGACCGCACGTGTGTGTGCGTGCATGTGGTTTAACACAAAGCCTCAGCGGGAGATGTTTACATTATCAGTGGGGGGGGGGGGTGTGTCAGCGAAAAACCTCCACTCTGGAAGGTGGGTTCAGAAACCTCCGGATTCAAAGAGGGGAGACAATGGTGTCGTGTAAATGATCAGCAGAACCGCAGAGAAAAAGGAGCGGATGCACTCAAAATACACGCCGTGTAAACGGCCCCTTAGGCAGATAGATCCCATTGAGCCTCGAGGACTCATTTACAAGAGAGACTTGATTTCAACTGGGAAATTAGGCATGATGGGTGCATCACTTCACCTGCCTCTCTTCTTACCCTGATGCACCCATCGCTCTGGAACAGGGTCAATCTGGACTCATCAGCCCACATGACCTTCTTCCATTGCTCTAGAGTCCCATCTCTATGCTCCCTAGCAAACTGAAGCCTTTTTTTCTGGTTAGACTCACTGATTAGTGGTTTTCTTAAGGCTACACAGCTGTTCAGTCCCTGAAGTTCCCTTTACATTGTGCGTGTGGAAATGCTCTTACTTTCACCATTAAACATAGCCCTGAGTGTTACTGTTGTTTTTCTTTGATTTCACCAAACGTTAAAGTGATCGACGATCACGATCATTCAGGATTTTTTTTCCAGCCACATTCTTTTTCTTCTTCGAAGACGATGGGTCCCCACTATCCTTCCAGTTTTTAATAATGTGTTGGACAGTTCTTTGCTGCATGCCAATGATTTGACCCTTCTCAAACAGACCGACATCTTTTCCACAACCACGCGATGTGTCTTTCAACATGGTTGTTTAAGAAATGAGAAGGAACGCATTTCACCAGTTGGGGTTAAATAACTTGTTGCCAGCTGAAAGATAATCGCCCATGCAGTAATTATCCAGTAGGAGGCTTGTACCCATTTGCTGTTAAATCCAGTTGGCAACTTGTGTTTTGGCCAGGTAGTGTATTTTGTCTAATTGATCAGGCATAAAGAAAACAAATTACACTCACTTCTAGCTCTGCTGTTTTAGCTTGAAAAAAGGAAGATAGAGCCCCACCGAGCAAAGACTGTCTGAAAGACTGAGTCATCCAGTCTCTCATTATTCCCATCCCCTGTGACATCACCAAGTCCTTTGCAAATTGCTGATTTTTTTCATCTTGTTGGTCCTCCTGAAGATGATTAGCACATTTTAAAGTTGATAATAAATATCTATAAAGTAAAATGCTAAATTCACACACATTAACTAAATTTCTTATACATACCTGTTCCTTGTCACACTGAAAAAAGTCTGACACTGATGCAACCAGATTCATGCAGGCTATGGGAATATCAGGAAAGTTTTGTGTGTATGATGAAGGTTTGACACCTTTGCAGATCTTCTCTAACAGTCTCACAGCTGTAGCCAAGCACTCTTTCCTGTAGGCCTCAGTGAAGTAACTATAATAACAAAACGAGTATTGAAATTTATTACTAATGTCAATAATAACAGTTCAAATGAATTTGCAACAATATTGCATTATTTAAAAAAAGACTTTATACATCATAATTTTTAGACAAATGCAAAGAGTAAATTAAGGAAGTTCAATAAAACAAATGACATGGCAAAATGGTTATTTTATTTACCAGTAGTTATTTCATTGTTTTAAAGACAACATAAATTTCAATGTGACTGGCTTAGCATGGTCATTTAGCATTTCTAGTTAAGTTTTACATATAAGCTTGATTGAAAAAAACGCATGTTGCACATCGTCTACGTGCTATCGTTTTTAACGATTTCATAGTTTCCTTAAGCTTTAAATAACTACTATTCTCTCAACCAGTTATTTTTATGAATATTTTCCCCAGTTTACCTTTTCCATCTTAAATCCAAAAGTTGTTTTTTTTGTCTCTCACAAATTAATAAGAATTCTACTTTTTTATCAACTTAATTAAATTTCATATACATAAAAAAATTATGTTTGTAAAAATATAGTTGAGACTGATGAGAGTCAAAACTTTTCAGGCAAAACTTTTAAGTAGAAATTTGCTTTCTTGATCAGCAAATAGACAAAGTAACTCAAATGTCCACAGACCCATACCTGAAGTTTTCCTGAAGGAGAAGCTCTTGGATGTGGATGAGAATTTCGGTTACCAACTAAAAAAAGAAAACATAAAATTGTTTAATGACATCATTACTAAAATTATTGATTCTCTTTTGTTAACTGACTTGAGGGGATAAAATATTTTAACACGAGTACCACGTACAGCACATTATACACCCATTGACAAACTATTATAGAACAATCTACAGCAATGGCCCAGACAAGTACAGTAAAGACCTTGTTTAACCATTTACCTTGGAGCCGGGTTAATGAGAAGTGTTTGCAACACTCCCGTCTAGTGATGATGCACATGTGTATAAAATTTGTTAAATTATCTTGAGTGGATCAGAAGTTATGGCAAAGACAAGTTTACAAATGTATGGACAGAGACTATACCAGAACATATCTGCCTTTCGACAGGCTTATAAAAATGAAAAATGTATGTACACACTTCTGCAATGTGATCATTTGCAGCTCCATAATAAAACTAAGTGGTAGGGATGTTGAAGAAATTAAAATATATATGTATACACAAAATAACATGCATCCCTTGCCGCATTGTATACAATATGTTCATGTGTTTGTCTGCTCACGTGAGAATTGCTGCTGGTAATGTCCTGAGGAACTTTATTATAGAAAACAAAGAGCAGGTCCAAAAGTTCAGGGTTTATGCAGATGGTGCACTCCAACAGTTCATCAAGTGGCATCAGGTACAAGCAGGATCGAATTGAAAGAGCATCCACCTTCATCAAGTGAGTGTTTGTTTTCATCACATTTAAGAGTGCTCTGAAAACAAAAAAATAGGAAAAAAAAAAAGTACACTGTAATACCATTTATGTATTTTTGTAAAAAATCTGCCAGGACAGGAGGATCTTACTTTTTGTCTTGGCTGCTTGTGTATGTAACGTTGCCAATGTCAAGACCTTCCAAACCAGCCCAGAATATGGTGTATTTCATGTTGCCTGAAGTTTTTGCTTGAAAAGGTTTGACTGAGCCTTTGAGGAGGTGAAGGAGAGGCAGTACCATAATCCATCGAGGCATCCCCTCAGTTTTTACCTTTTTAATCAGATGCACTAATATTTCTGGCAATCTAAAAAAAAAATAATAATTAGAATTTTGACAGAAAAATCATGAGGAAAATTTAAAGTTCATCAAGTCTGAGTGTTTTTGTTTTTTGACATTTCGTATTTATGATCATCAAAAAGAAAATCGGGTCCTCACGTTTGGAAAACTGAAACATCCTGAGAAAACTGCATCCAGTACTGAAGAAAACTCTCATTTTCTAGTTTGGGCAAGCACAATGCTTTACAGAGGCGATGGAGCTCAGCATTATTAAGGATGATTTTATACTGCCACCACACATGAAGCATGATCACAGCTGCTCTCAAGGGGTCTTGAATGTACAGATTTTTTGTTTCGCCATCTCTCAGTTGAGGAATCACGTTTGTCAGCATGAACTCTTTCAGCATATTTTTCACCTATAAATGTAGGACAGAGACACAGAAGATGAAGCTCACAAAACCAGGCGGTACCTAGACTTTATTCAGAACAACTCTTTACTCACATCATCTTCCCCAAACTGCAAGGAGTGCCATCTCTTTCCTCTCTCTTCATACACAAAAGGGTTCCCATAAACCTGAAAGAACTGATTCAGCTGAATTTTAAAGCTTCTCAGATTTGCATCACTCCAACTCTTGAGGAGATCAAATATGTTATTCAACATTATATGTCCTGCAATCTCTCTGCCTTGAATCAAATTTTTACGCTGTTCAGGCCACAAGGTTTCCTTCAAGCGTTTAAGGACATTTTTTGATGGTTCAGCACAAATGATGTCATCATACTGATGCCAGTCCCCTTTAACACAAATATTAAAACACAAAGTTAACTGTAAGCAATGCAATCACAACATAATTTATGAAGACAATGCTATAAAGGCAACAATAAAATGACTATACTGTACAGTTGGACACAGCTGATAGAATTTACCATCATCAGTGATGAGGTGGGGTTTCACAAACAAACACCTGTTGGTAGGGTTTTGGGAAGACTCCTGTTTGTAAATATACTCATACTCATATGCCTTCTTTTTAAAATTATAAACAACATATTTGTATGGTATCGATTCAGATACAGCTTCACTTTTAATTGTTGTCAGAGTGCCTTCGATCAGAAATCCATGTTCTCCAAGATCCCTGCAAGAAGATATATTGACGTAAGTGGTGTAAAATCAGTGAGACAAAATGCACAACCCAAAACATAAGCTATTCCTCCATCTACTGATGGGAGGAGGGGCATCATTTCAAACTCTGAATTAAGAATCAAACAGCATTGTGTAAAAGTCAATTAACTAACGGGATGTACCAATGTTGTGTTAACATTTACAGTAATATGGTACAAAAATATTTGGTTGTAGGCACTTTATCTTCACCACAGTGTGTTATTGACAATTTGTTTCAATTTATGTGCAAAAAATACCAAAAATTAAATTTGACAATCATAAGAAAAGGTGCTATGCTGTATGGAGCATTTTTAATTGCTCCTGATAGGGTTTCCCAAGGCAGATTGGTTCTAGGTGACAGGCCAGACAAAGAGTGATTCAGAAGACAGGGGTCTTCAGGGGTCTACAACCTGCGGCTCTGGAGCCACATGCAGCGGCTCTTTCACGCTTTGACCAAAACTGACATAAAACTGAAATTTATTGGTTGTTATAACAACTAAAAGGGCTAGTTTTAGCAGTTTTCCTGTAATTTATTTAGCAAATATATGAATACTAGAAACATTACAAGGAGTAAAACAAAAAGGGGGACCAGAGTGTGTCCTCCAATTACAAGGCCATCATTTTCCTTAGTCTCCCTGGTAAGGACTATTTAGGGGTACTGGAGAAGCAAATCCGATTGTTGGTTGAACCTCAGATCCAGAAGGAACAATGCGGGTTCTGTCCTGGCCGTAAAACACTGGATCAGTTCTTTACCCTCATTAGGGTCCTTGGGGGGTTATGAGAGTTTGTCCATCCAGTCTACATGTGTTTTGTGGATTTGGATAAGGCATTTGACAGTGTTCCTCAGGGTACACTGTGTGTGTGTGTGGGGGGGGGGGGGGGATTCGCAAGTATGGGATTGGGGGCCCATTGTTACTGGCTGTTTGGCCCCTATATAAGCCCCTATATACAAACGGATTGGTGCAGCATCTGCAGTAGTGCGGACTCTGTACCGGTCCGTTGTGGTGAAAAGGGAGATGAGCTGCAAGGCAAAGCTCCTCCACATCGAGAGGAGCCAGTTGAGGTGGTTCAGGCATCTGGTAAGGATGCTCCCTCGAGCATGTCCGACCAGGAGGAGACCCTGGGGAAGAACCAGGACACGCTGGAGAGACCAATGTCTCTCAGTTGGCCCGAGAACTGCTTGCAATCCTCCCAGAAGAGCTGGAAGAGGTGGCTGTAGAAAGAGATGTCTAGGCCTCCCTGCTCAAGCAGCTGCCCCTGTAACCCGACTCCGGAACAAGCAGAAGATAATGGATGGATGGAATCATGAGAAAATTGTGTGGGATCACAGAAAGATACCCTAAATCCACATAAAAAATACAACAACTTATGGAATTGCACAATTGCACTTGTTAAATATTTAATGCATCCCGTGTTTTAAGATTAAGCAAACATTTCATCTGCACAGAGGTATAGTTACCTGGTCACAGTCAACTCGGCTGCATTTTCCTCCCATGAACCAATAGGGAACCCAGCTTTGATGAAGACTCGATCTTCCAAAGGATTGAATTTAAAATGCTTTGATAGAACTGCGTGGAAGTAAATTGTGAGTCTGTTACGAGCAGTAATATTCTTGCTCTGGGTCGGCCTGCAGAGTAAAAAGAGTTTATATTAGAGTGCTTTATTATTATGCACAAAAAGAAAAGGGTGTTTAAAAAGCTTAAATGTATCACCTTGTGGGTGGTGCTACTGTTTGGGTGTCTGAAGTACCCTTACTGGCCTCAACACTTTCTCCGTCATTATCTGAGATTTTGTTCTTCATATCCCCAGACTCTTCAACATCCATGTTCTCCACTGGGTCCTCAGGGTCCACACTGGAACCTGAGGTATCTGCCTGTGGCAATGCATATAAAATTTAAAATTCAAGGATCTGGTCATATAAAAAGTCAAATTTTAGATCTGAATAATCCATTTTCATTATTAATAACTAGATCTACCTTTGATGGGCCTGAACTCTGCTTGTGTTTCTGGTCTTGCTGAACTTTTCCTTTCGGTTTCTGATCAGCTTGATTTTTTTCTTCCTTCTGTTTCTGACTGTCTTTTGTCTCCTTCTGTGTCTGATTGTCTTTTGTCTCCTTCTGTTTCGGATTGTCTTTTCTCTCCGGTTTCTGAATGTCCTTTGTCTCCTTCTGTTTCTGACTGTC